GAATGTTTTGTTCAGTAAGCTGCATTTCAATGCGATTAGGGCTTCTTCCATTACATGAGTTTGCTGGTGACCAGCGATGAGATTTCTATACACATTTCTATTCACTGTTTCCTACACCCCGCCAAGATAGAATATTGATGTGATCTATTTTGTTGTTTGGGATCAGAGGCAGAGGTTTCGGAACCTTTTTCCAGCGTCATTTGCAACAAATTCCCTGTTTTATCCAGCCACACTGGATCAGAAAATCACCATTCCTACTATTTCATTTTATGTTGTAATTCAAGTCAGAAAAGCATAATGCTTTCTGGCTAGTGAATTTTCATGATTTTCATATGATTTACAAATTACGATGGTGTGAGAAAGTAATAGATCAAAATGATGAAAAAATGACAAAACTCGATATGAATGGTGAACTACTTGGCTACTAATGATGGATGTGCGGGTTGACTATCATGTGTACTGAGTAGGGAATAATGCTGTTAAAGCAAGTGGATGTACGGGCGGAGAGAACCCTTCATCACTTGAATTAAAAATAGCTTTACAGATTTAATTGTGTAAACAGTGGTCGGCATCAGACAACACACGTTCAGTAGACAAATCATATGCATTGAGGTGCTTGCGAATAATGGAATTAATAGGGAGTACCGCAAAACACCAATACCCACAGTCTGACTTATCATTGAAGCTTAGAAAAGCGATAGGGGACCAACATTGGCAATGGGGCGTAGTTCAGACAATGACAACTTTAAATGCTTAGCTTTCCCAACTCTCTAAGTCTATAATGGAATTCTGCGGACTGTTATGAATACACTTTCAACATGCATAAACAATGGATAATTGCTCTATAAAATAACACCGAACTATTTCACGTATGTGGCTGTGTGGTCAGTTTTGCCACTAGCAGCCAGAGATCCAAGATCATGGGAAACAGATTAACACAGAGAGCTAGATTTCGGGTTGAAATAGGCCAAAACATTGGCGAACATTTAAAGAGAGTACCGATTAAAAAAAAGTTTGGCATATGGACATCATCTGCACACGTAACTAATAAAACTGCGAGGAATATAAAGATACTTTATATACAGAGAGCAAAATAAATAAGTCAATAGCGCCCTGGAATACCAGAATCGATTGAAGGAGCCTAATAATGTTTAGGATCACAGGAGTCAAACTGTGACTTTTCAACGTACTTGTTACTCAATTGTTGATGATCGGTAATTCACCATTTTTTGTGTATTTTTCAATGAATTTATGTTGCCATAGTCTTGTGCATCATTGATTTCTCTTCTACAATCTTTTATTTTCTCACAGCTGTTTCGGGGCTCACGTGTGGTCAAATGTTCCAGTAGTGAATTTCACGCTTTCGCATCTCCTAACTATCCGGTTCTAGCCAAATTCGGAACCGATCTAATATTCTTCCCGGACTTGGTTTTCCGCCCGGTCGGTCCGCAACGCACTTTCACCATTCACACCGAACTTTGTCGTGATGTGGCCGTGCTGAACATGTTCCCTTCGATTGCTGCCGAGCATGTCGCCACCTATCTGGCTCCACCAACAAAAGGCAAGTTCCACGAAATGATCGCAAGCGAAAAAGTGGGCTGAAGAAAAACTAGAGGCTAAGAATGGGTAGTGTCAATAATCAGGGAGAGAAGGAAAGAGTTCACTACGTTTTCGTATGTCTGAATGCACGCAAGAAGGTAACTTTTGTCTAAAGAAACATAAATCATTCTAACAAAACAACAAAATGGCGAAC